ATCCTAAAACTGCTTGAAAATAGTGTTTTCCTACAAAATTCAAACATCGATACTGATGTCACTTGTGCTGAGCGCGGCGGGATCACTGGTTTGATGGAGGGTTGTGAGAGGGCTCGACCAGCATGCAGCAACCGAGTGGAACACAGAGCTGCCAGCTGTGTGTGTGTGTGTGTGTGTGTGTGTTCGCCTCAGTTTGAAAATAGCTGCAGGAGCTGCTCTGAAATCCCTCGCTGTCAAATCTCTTTACGACGCGGACAGAAGACTCTGGGGAACTAACAAAACCTTTTCTTTGTTGTTGTTCTACCACAGTCCACCGCCCAGGGCACCGTGCCCTACCTGGGCATCTTCCTCACAGACCTCACCATGCTGGACACCGCCGTCAAAGACAGGCTCGACGTAAGTTCCTCTCGTCTCTAACGAGGCGAAACGGGGTCACAAATCTGGAAGCTGCTCTGTCTTTTACAATCCAACTTAAATTCTGTCACTTCCTCCGCAGAATGGCTACATCAACTTTGACAAAAGGAGAAGGGTGAGTGTTGCAGTACGTTTTTTCCTCTGAAAGATAAAGGTTAGAAGTTTAATACATTATCTATTTCCATGCTCTTAAAATTAACAGTCCCTAAACTAAGCTGATGCTTTCAACAAGTGAAGCAGCAAAAAAAGCTTCACGGTGTTAAAAGAGTCTGACGGTAAGAATAGAAGCCCCCCCCCCTGATCAAAACCCTGTGACCCTGAGAAAATAGGAGCCACGCTAAGAGGAGATACAGGAGGGGATGGTTTCACAGTGAGAGCATATCAGAGCGAGCCGAGGTAACAGAGTATCTGAGGGAGGAAATGATTAAGTGGAAGGTGCTGTGAAGTGAAAGAAGCTGCACAGTTATACTACACCAGTGAACGTGTGGGTGTGTGGTTTTTTTTAAAAAAACTTTGTGGTGATACAACTCTTTGTTTTTGCAGGAATTTGAGGTTTTGGCTCAAATCCGTCTCCTGCAGTCTTCCTGCAAAAACTGTGTTTTCAGCTCGGACGAGTCCTTCATGCTGTGGTATCACAGTGTTCCCACACTGACCGAGGAGGAGAGGTAAAGGTTCAGACGCCGATTACAAACCATGTGGAAGGCATTCATTCTTTACTCTCACTGAAATTAATATATTCTGTTAATTCCGATGTTCTCTATCAGTTACAGACTGTCCAACGAAATTGAAGCGCCCAGCGAGCCGAGCCCACGCGGCCTCACTCCGACAGTCATCATCACACAGTGTTCAGAGTAAGAACCTGCTCTCTCTCACACACACACACACAACGAACAATCATTATTTTCAACCTTAATTTGACTGTTTGTGAATTTCCTGGTGTCGGCAGCCTGAGCACCTCGCGGACGAGTCTGGCGGGCGACAGCGACAGCCTCTTTGACTTCCCCTCGCCCGTCAACAACCTGCTATCAAAACTCACAAAGGTAACATGTCGTTACTGATCTCACTCTTTCTGCTTTGGTCTCTGAGAGTTAGGTTCTCAGTCGTTATTATTGGATTCTAGAGGCCACGTATGAGATCAGTGAAGGTCGGTTCTACATCTCATGTAACATGAGATCTCGTGTAACATGAGATGTAGGACGAAGACAATTTGAAAGGTAAACAGAGAGTTAATTGCCCAAATGCAGATAATCATGGAGGCTGAGGCTCATCTGTTTCTCTGCTGCTTCCGTCTATTTTACTCAGAAACCTTTGGGAAGTCTCTCAGAAAACAAATCGAAAGCGAGCAGCAGTGTAATCAACACGTAAAAAAACAATCCTGCCCGGTCGTTAGTCTCCAGAAACAATCGTCACCAATGCCAGTTTTGTTCTGTTGCAGCATATGAGATCTCCATCTGTGTCCTGTCTGGATGTGGACACGTCCCCTTCCACCACAGACTCCACCCCCGCCACTCTGACTCCATCTACCCCCACGAAATCCCACCGCCGCTCGGCCTCCTGCGGCAACAACCCCCCCAACAAAGCGCAAGGGTCCGGGCCGGACATGCGGATCATCAGGATCGGGATGGACCTGCAGGATGGAAACCTCTACAAAAGCATTCTGGTAGGAACTCAAAGTGTTTGGTTCTAATGTACAGCAGCAGCCATGACACCGTAACACAGTACGTCCCGAATTATCTGTGACACGCTGCACTTATCAGCGAAGATCCCGTAATGATAGTGATCAGCATCAGATCCTTCGGGATAAAGTGGACGCAGGATGTCATTAGTGCAAATCAAGCCGTCCTAAAGTCACTGTTGTTTATCTCCCTCCCCCCCCTCAGGTTACGAGCAATGACAAGACCCCCACTGTGATCAGCTCCGCCTTAGAGAAGCACAATCAGGACCCCAAACAGACGTCCAAGTACGAGCTGATCCAGCTCCTGCCTGACGCAAAAGGTAAAGATATACAGCAATGGTCCCTCGTTTCTCTGTCTTCCTTGGAGCGAGACACTGAGCCCTCAATCTCGGAGCCCGTCGGCTGTTGTCTGACGAGGAATTAGCCCCTGGGGACAATATTTTGGGTCTAGACAGAAGATGTCCGGGCTAAGACTTGCAAAGTGAGACGCAAGAATAGAGGACACATCTACATCGACGCTCCTTGTCGGTGTTTTAGGCCCAGATGACGTTTTGGCTGCGGAAGATTGTTCTCACCTTTGAGGACGTGCACATACGAGATGGATTTTCTGCTTGGTGTCTAATTCACGGTCTAATTTAGCGAATACCAGTGTGATGTGGAAGCAGGAGACATTTTGTGTTTTTATACGACAGTAACAGTAGAGGGATGACAAGAAACAAGTAAAGTACACGTCTCTGCCACCAGGACCCACCTTCCATTGTCACTTTCTGAGTATTGATGGTATCAGCGCCGCGGCCATTGAGAAGCTCTATTGAATTGTGTGTGTTTATCTCTTGATGCAGAACTGGTCATCCCCGCTACAGGAAACGTCTTCTACGCCATGACATCATCCAGCGTTGACTTCCTGCTGAGGAGGAAAGGCGGGAACACTCCTCTTGGCTCGCAGCCGATCAGCACAGAGACGAGCGCCACGTTTCCTCGAATCAAGGCCAAGGGGAGGAGGCTGGTCAGGAATCTGTTTTGACGTTAGATCTTCGTCAACTTTGACCTCTTCTCTTGTCGCCCCCCCCCCCCGACGAACACACGGGGGAGATCCCTCAATGACGTGGCCTTCCCCGTGCAAAACGAGAAGCTACACATGCCTTTACCCCATGCTCCTCAGAAGCCTCTTCTACCAAAGCACAGAGACCAAGTACATCAGACATTTCAGAAGCTCCTGCGTTCACCAGAGCCGCCTGCTGCTGTCTTTCCAGTCTTTCTTTTCTCCAAACATTATGCATTGCGGATTCACATCCAGAGGAAGAGCGATGGAAGCCTCTCGCTGAGTGCTCTTGGTGCTGCCTCTGGACTCCCAGTCAGGTTGCACTTGATGCATTGTTTTTTTTTTTAAAGCTCATTCCAACTCAATGAATAAGATCTATTTTAATTAACACCGAGAAATCCCTTGTTGTTGTCAGCCTCCGCTGTGAGTGATGTGTCCAAACGTTAGAGGAAGATTTAATCGGACTTTCTGCGATCACCCGTGAGGCCATCGAAGGATTTAAGACTGTTTTATTTGTGGGGGGGGGGAATTATAATGAAATCTTAACACACAGAACTTGTCAGATCTGGTTCTGGTTAACATATAGGACGATGCACGGATGGAAACAGATGCTAATGCATCTTCGTAGCAAAGCACTGGAGGTCGTCATTGGAGACATATTTGTTTTGTATATATTTATATATTTTGTACGTCTGTGTGATGTCAGCGTTGTGTTTACACCGGCAAGAAGCTCGATATGTCCAAACTGTCAACAGACTAATTCATCAAGGAATCTGTCTTCGCCTTTAAACTGGTCGGCAAGTCAACACAGCGAGTGATTAAGCTGCTAAAACCTTAAAGCATCATTGATCCCTGTTTTTCTACATCACTGATTATTTGACTTTTCATATTGTGAAGGTCGAAGCTTTTCAACAGACACCAGAACACTATAGACTCTATAATGTAAGACGTAGAGCAAACAGACAGTGAACGAGTCAAACATCCTGCAGCTCAAGAGTCGGAGATCTTCTGTCAGAAGTCACAGGTTGTGTCTGAAATCACTCACTGATCACTATGTAGTGGTGTCCGAATGTCTTTTATACACTGGACGTTTCCCACAATGCATCGTGAAGAGTAGCGCACATTTGATGGGCGCTAACCGAGCAATATATCCCATCACGCATTGCACTTGCGGCGACAGAGGCAGCAACAGCCCGACCTGTCGTGTAAATGTAAACAGAAGCAGAGCATCATAGCATAGAGAAAGAAATGTATTTCTACATTTAAAGATGATCATTCAATGTTTTTTTTTTACCTTTAAGTATTAATACTAAGTGTAAAATAAATGTTGAGAATTTACTGTGATATTTTCCACCAGCCGATGTTGTTGCGCGTCATCATCAGCAGATAAAATGTGCAGAGTAGTGTTGTTAAATCATTTCTTTTTTCCGATTAGCTCTCTATACAGTGAAGTAGGGAATAGTGAATGACTGGGTGATTTCAGACACGACCATAGACTCTGTATAAAGATGGCCGCCACGACAACTCCCCAAAAGTGAAGCCAAAATCTGGATCTGTTACGAAGTAAGCAAGAGACCAAACAAGGGCTAAAAGAATCATTCATTTGGACTAAAGCACTTCTTCAGCCGGTTGAAAGTGTTGGCAGCTGTGAGCCAAACCAAATTTAAAGGCAATAAAATGATGCATTGCTTATTTTGGTATATCTCTGCCCCTTAGTGGCCAAACATCTACCTGCAGCTTAAAAAAAAACATTTCAAACTTATCGACTTTGCTTCACTGTTCAACCAAAACCCTTGAGGACAATGAGGAAAATGAAATTATTACCGCCACCACCGGTTTAACTTATTGACAGAGCATCAGTTTAATTTAATTCACGTGCGTTTCCCAGCAGCTCAGCAGGATCCATCTTTACATGTGTGTACGTGCAGCACAGAGCCTCACCTCTGCTTTCATGTTGTGCACCGACCTCAGCGCAGGTTTATAACACTCAACCTCAATCTTTTGACACAAGTCTCGTGACCTCTGGTTGTCGAGCTCCCTGCTCAGTGCTGGTGACGTCTGTTGCACATCGGCTGAGGCACTAGCGTGGCTGGACCAGGGAGAGGATTCTGGGTAATAATGTGTGTGCTAGCGTTAATGCTATGCTACTGATTGTTTTCTGTGCCTTTCTCTAAAAGGGTGCTCACCTTTCCCATGTTTGCATTAGAATGTATGCAGAACATGCAGAGGACACGCAGTCCCCTCCGGTGCTGTGTCGTCTCACATCAAAGCTATTTATGCACTACATACAGGATGTCCTATTTTTGTGGTAATAAATTTACTTTTATATGAATTAATTGCCTTTGACTGATTTGCTGCAACACATTCCAGGTTCAATAGAGACGTATTTTCGGTGCTGCTGAGCTTCACATGAAAAGAATTCAAACTGTCTACACATGTCATATTTGATGACATTTCTATTTTTCTCTTGGAAAAGGAAAACAACACAGCAGCTACAGAAGCACACCTCTGTTTGAGTCTTTGGTTTTTAATTTAGAGTCAAGACAGCCAGCATCTTATTCTTCAAGCGAATTTTCAAGATCAGAATGAGAACGATGAACAAAACCAAAATATTTCTGCTTATATCAGGAAAGCACTTTCCCAATCAAACAAACATTCATTTAACACAAAGTATTAAACCGCCCCCCTCATGCCATCATTGTCAGTGTGTCTGTGAGTGTTGACGGTAAAATGTGCAATTAATCCAACGTTGTTCATTAGTTTCAACAAGCAAAGCATCCCTGAGAACACACAATCCACAAAGCAGCTCATTTTGATTTAAACAGGAAAAAGTCAAGAGTTTATGAAGCAGAACTCGTTCACGTCGCAATTTCTCTCTTCAGTCTCAGTCAAAACTGGATGAAGGCTGAAAAGACACAGATGCTTTCATTTCATGAGAAAAGCTCTGTGTCAAGGCTGGATTTTTATTTTTTTTTGTTATTGCTCAATGTGATGCACTTTGAGGGTTTTGTGTTTTTCAAAATGAACATCGTAGTTCCTAAAAAATCCCGACAGATTGTGTTCCTCGTTCTCCTCCAGCTCTGTTCTGTTTGCATTACGTCCAGAGGAGGGTGTAGCAGCCTTTCATACCACAGATTAAAATCATTCTGAACAAGTTAAATGTTTTTCTGTGACTTAAAGGCTCTGGTTTTTCTAAATCAGCGTCTTATTGTGAGTCATGGGATCTCACACACACACTTGTATTTCTTACCAAACGACACCCCTGCAGTCCATACTACATTTTTTGGGCATGATTGGCTTTTAATAAATTACCTAAATGTTTTTATTTTGCTTATAGTCGTGAATATTTAATTCCGAGCTATTTATGCTCTCGGAGCACATTGTTAAAAATGCAGTGTTCTTGAGAGTTAAAATGAAATTTGTGTTTTTAGTTGCCTTTGACGAAACAGCACTGTCCATAAACCCACATAATCTTGGGACAAAAGTTTTAGAGGGACAGACGTCTGTAATAGGAGCAGCACAATCTGTTTAAAAGGACTTTAGAAGAGAGCACAGGATCTGGACAGAACCGATCAGCGACGTTCAAGTACCGGTGCTGCATTGCTCGTATATTTTTCTAACGGAATAATCTTTTAACTGTAAGAATATCAAAGTTTTGGTTTTCTTATGGTAACCGCTGTAGTAGATCTGATTTGTCTTTGAATATGAATAGTTAATCCCAGGAGCACGCTTCATTTTTCACAGAGACTGATGAAAGGAATGTCGAACGAGAGGCTGCAGAAGTTACATTTTCCAGGACGTAAGACAAGAACTACAACTTGTTTTGACCCAAATGAGATTCCTCGGGCCCGGTTGAGCCACCTGTCTCAAGCAGGGCATGGGATGCTTGCTCCTCCACAATCCTCACACTGTAAAGCTGCTGTCCGGTAAGCCTTCCACACCACGGGGTTCTGCAGACACACTGTGCCTCCCCCTCGCTTCTCCTCCGCCTCGTTCCGGTTTATGTCTCCAACACACGCCCAGCCTCCTCCGACACCCTCCCCAGCCGCCTTGGAACTGACGGCCCACTTGGAGTGGTCCTGGCTTGTCTTGTACGTGAACGTCTGCCCCGGGTTGAGGAGGTTGATGTCCAGGACCTTCCAGCCCAGCGAGCAGTCGGAGGGGAGGATGCCCCTGGAGCGAATCCAGAACTGGACCAGGAGGTCTGACTGGAGGGTCGGGGCCACCCAGGAGTGGTAGAGGTCTGACAAGACATGAGGATGATTAAATTAAGACATTATCACGAAACACTCGTCTGTTTATATCAGCAAAAAAGCTGAACGTGAACTAAACTTCTTCAAGTTGTACCATTGTTAAAAGAGGCTCCTTTGGCAAAGCTGATGAAGTTTGTTCCACCCTTCGAGGTCAAAGTCACGCTGCGGTTGGACACAGGTTTGACGTGTGGAAAGATGTGACCGGACAGACGTTTTTCCCCGCAGACGGCAGCCAGCGAAGGCACCAGTGACACAAAGGACTCTGGGACATCGCAGTCGTACACGTGAGGCTGATTGATCTGCAGCTGCTCTCCTGTTGTGCAAAACAAAGTAGATTTGAGGAAAATGCTGCTAACTGAATCTTATAAGTAAAGTATTTAAGATCATTTTAGATTTTCATTTCACACATCACATGTTCACGGTCTTCTAATAAAATCCTCCCTGTTTGATTGTAATGTGAAACAGCAGTGATACAAAGAAAAGAGAAAAACTACATAACGTTCTCTTTACTGTAAGTTATACAGTAACTCGTGTCAGTGCCATGTTTTCTGTACAGTTATTGGAGGAATTAAACACCACAGCCAATAAGTATGTTTCCTGAGACAGTTACAAACACACACACACAATAAATGATAATATTTTTTTCTGCTAAAATCAAACCAGTACACACTTTATTGCAGCACTTCACTGTAACTTTGACCTCAACACATTACGCTCTTCAGCTGCTTAGTGTCAATTAGTGCTACAGCTGATGATTACTTTTCATCGTTATTTAATCACCCCATTATTTTCTAATTGAATGACTCCTCTTTTAAAACGTGTCGGTAAGCATCACAGCTCATGACGGACAGTTTGTATCGTCCCAGGAAAACACCTGTTCTACATTGAGTCTAAAAAGGTATCAAACACAGAAAAGCACCAAATCCTCACATTTTAGAAGCTGGATCTGGAGAATGTTTATCATTTTTGGCCGCAATCGCTGGTTCTTGTCGCCTTCAGAATGAATAGTCACAATATTGGTATTGTAACAAACTAATCCTCTACATTTTCTTTTAACATATCAGTCCTCGTATCATGCATAGGTAGCATGTATGATCATAGGAGTGTTAACTCGCGGTTTGGGTTCATTAATGTGCAAATTCATGCTGCAAGGTGCTCAGCATGAAACATGACCGGGCTGCGATCACCTTCTGCCGCTCGACACCACATATATGCGCCGTGTGTTCCTCGACGCCACGGAAACTGTCACACTCTCAACATCCCAGCTGGAGAGGGCGAGAATCTGAAGGAGCGAATGCCTGCCGCAGTGCGAGGGCCAATATCTCTATGGTTACAAACCTCAATCTAATTACATTACCCCAGGCACTGCTACAGCAAGTGTGCCAACTGCCGGGTCTGCCAGGGAACTGCAGAGGCAGCGCGGTGACATGGTGATGACACCTGTTTACGCTGATTGTCTTGGATGGGGATTGTTGCTGTTGTGTCAATACCTGACTGGATTATTAAGTGCGACAATGAGACGATGATGTCAGAAGTAATCCCTCTCAAAACGAGACAGCTTGTATAAAAAAATTATTTGATAGCTTCACTGAACACACAACCTGTGATTCAATAACTTTAGAAACAGAGGACGGTGGTTTTAGTTTCCTATATACACTATATATATATAAGAAAGCTTAATACATAAACCACAGTATGTGCCTATTTACATCTATTATCTTAAACAGAAAATGCAGCATTTTAAATTCTATAACAGCAGGATGTTTCAATTTGCTGCCACAAATTAAAATCTTAACTATTTTCCTTGTTTATTAAAGCAAGTCAGACACAAGGCACAGTGGGAATCTTCATTAACTTCCTGGTTATAACTCTGACGTGATAAAAGCACCTGTTTAAACCTCCATCAGGGCTGACAGCATTTTTCTAACAACACATCTGCACTAAAAGTCCACAGGGGGGGGGACTCCGGTCTTACCAATGGTCTGGAAGCGTTCCAGTGGGTAGGTGACGCAGATGAAGTTTTGTCCGTTGTTCACGCCGCTGTCGGGGTAGTAATACTCTCCCGTCTGTCGTACAGGGGGGAACTGAGGGGTACTGTGTACCAACCAGAAGCCCTGATTTTTATCAAGCAGCACAACCCCTGAGGAATCAGAGACATTACGAATGTAAGTAAATTAGAACAAACAATTCAACATATAGGAGAGACAGACATTTTTTAAATGCACTAGTATATTGGAATCTGGAAGGGAAACTGGAATTGAAACATTTGTTGTCCTTATTTCCTCATTTTGACTAATAAATTAAATCTTCAGCAGCTTGTCGGGGCTGTAAGAGCATTAGAGCAGGACTGTTCTGGTTTTCACCTTTCGTGTGCCCCCCTCCCTTCCCACTGTTGTCATCCCATCTGCCACCAAGGTTCTTAGTCGGGCTCTGGTCGTTGTAAAGGACATACGCTACCTCTGTGTTCTGTGAAGAGGAGAGAGAAGAATCACGTCTAAGCTGAAATCCAAAATAAACGCTCAAAGGTTTAAGTACAAACTCGTGTTTTGTATCTTGTGGTTGAAACTTTCGTATTAATGTTTCCACAGTTGCTGTGAGAAAAACTGGATGAAAATTAACTTTTAAATAAAAATGTCAGTGGGTAAAATGTCAGAAAAAAACAGAAGTGGGTAAAAATAAATCGAATCTGCTTTTAATATTCTGCTGATGTCTGGAAGACGTTTTTGGTCTTTACTGCTCGTGTTGCTTCGGTAACTGCAGCGAGCTAATGAGGAACCAAATAAATAAACAAATAATGATTCTGAACGAAATCTAATATTATCACATGTAAGATACAGGGAATTAAAAAAAAGACTATTTCACATCACTAATCATATTTTTAAGACACAAATAAAGAGGAACTGAAAACTGTCAAGTCATTTCAACACGCGTCTCTCTCTCTCTCTCTCTCTTTCATCTTGGTCATTTCATGGAACATAAACTTCAATTCTCATGAAAACTGACTTTATTTAATTTGTTGCACCAGACAGAAGCCGACCTTTCCTTGTGAGTACAGTTGTCCGACTGTCCTGCCCAAGGCTCCCGTCGTGTCGTTCACTGTCACCTTCCCATCAGTCCATCCTTCACTCCCTTTGTCCATCAGTAAATACAGTTCCCCCCTTGTAGGAGACTTTTTGCCATGTTGTTTAGGCAGCTTGTACAGATAGAACCTAACTCAGAGAAAGACAGAGAGGGAGACATTTTGAGGATGTACATGTTGGAACTTCTTACATTGCTGCACGGCTGAACATTGTATATTGAGTTTTAAATTACTATTTCATCTTTGTAGGACGTTTGTGAGGCATAACTGTGTTTATGTAAAAGCTTGTTTTGTCCAGGGCTGTAAATAATTAATTACCAGTCCACAGCTTCTCCTTTGTCATTGTAGCAGCTGATTGGTGAGCTGCCACCCTCTACTGGCACCAAGAAGATCAGCAGGGACAGCAAGAGAAACATCTGGGAAAAAAGAATTAAATGAATACAGGTACGTGGGTATTGTTTGTGAATTAAAGTGTAGCTTCACCTTCTATTGAAGCTAATGTGCAGATACATGGTCAACTGTTTCTCTTGTTTCTACAAACAGTTTCCAGAAATAGATGTAAGTGATGAGGAACAGAATCCATCGTAGATAACATTGGGTTTCAGCTCTCTGACAAAAGTGGGAATCGTTCAGTCACAACTTCCCTCTTGTGTCTCAAGAACTGTTTCTACTTGAATTGTCTAATTCAGACTTTGAATTAACCTAAATTAACTTCAGCTGGTTTCTGAGGCCAGGGTGAACAGGAGGGGAATGTTGAAGCAATCAGCGATGCCCATCATACCTGTGCACATGTGTGTAATTTGTTTTGAAGATAAGACACAACCTCTCCACAGTTCCTCTTTAAGAACCTAAACTAAAGTCTTGGATTGTAGTTTTTTCTTAACTTTAAAAAATATATGTCCAAGTTTTAAGTTAAACCTTCCTCAATATTAGGATTTTTCCACCAGTTATTATAAAGATCCAATACAGACACACAGAGAAGTGAATGAATACAAATCTGTTATTTTAATATCAAATTTGTCTTTTATTGGTCTTTTTAAATAACTGTTGTAAAATACACGATTAAACACTTAAAATGCCTTTATATCTGTTTACATCTACACGATATGTTATAAGATAAAACCCACTAATTAAATGTTTATCTAAAGTGAAGTTTAATAAAGTCTTTACTTAATGTGAAAGGTGTGAGCATTTATTAATGTCCAAAGTAATTAAACACTGAAGTTAAAAGATGTAATGGAGTAAAAGAAACTATACTTTGCCTCTGAAGTGTAGTAAAGTAGACGTATGAGATAAAGTACCTTATAATGGGGCTTGAATGCAGAACTTGAAGAACTTCACTACAAGTTTCAGTCGCACTTTCTTGAAGTACAAAAACATATTTACAACTTCAGTAAATCTCCAGAGCCTGATGATGTGTTGAGTTGTGTTGAGAGTTTGAAGCTCACCTCTGACTGGACGGCTGTTTCCTCCGCAGTGTCTGTTCACCGGATCTCAGGAGAAAAAGTTTCACTCAAGTTTCCAAACTTTTTATCCAGTTTCATCTTCAGCCACATCCTGGTTCTTTTAGAGCTGAGACCTCACGAGCAGGATGAGTCACTGGCGTATGGGGAACTACACGCTGGCTAACAACAAGCTAGCTAACAACAAGCTAGCTAACTACACGCTGGCTAACAACAAACTAGCTAACAACAAGCTAGCTAACAACAAACTAGCTAACAACAAGCTAGCTGACAACAAGCTAGCAGCCACAAAATAACAACAGTTATTTACAGTCACAGTCGAAAATACAAGACAAAGTGAGCGCTGTAGTTTCTACGACACCGGGGACTCGTGTCGGGTACAAATGACGGAGTAGATGTGACGTTTGACATTTTTAAACTCTCCGGAAATGTCCTCGCTTCTGTCTCATCCTTCTATAAACACCCGGGTGACGTCGCCAAGTGGGCGCGGCCATGTTGTCAAGCCACAAATAAAATGTAATAGAATGAAAAATATAAATATATGTAGGTGACACACATAATATAATATAATACGATATAATATAATTTAATCTAATGTGATATCATAATAATTGTCTTGACTGCGGAGCGACACACCCCTGGTTGACCTTGTTATTTATCTGTCTTACCCTTTGTATAAGGTTTCAACTTTATTTGTCACATGCAGGTGAACACAGGGTCAACGGTACAGTGAAAGATGTCGGACAGGAAGAGACCGCTCAGCTCAGCAGTGCAAAAGTTAAATTAAAATACAAGCAAGGTAGAAAGAGCTCACTATAAAAAATAAAAAAAGAGTCAAACATAATACAAAAGCAGTGTGGCAACTTTAACTGTGTGGAGCGTGTGTGAAGAGCTATTGCACATGTATGTGCATAATTATGGCACACATGATGTTTATGTCCACATTAGGAGCGAAACATAAACCTGATTTAATTTGCTGTTGTTTATTCCAGTTTCATTCAGTGGTTTCATTATTGTCACATGTTTTTCTTCTGCTCCGCCTCTGTCCCTCTTCTTTGTCTGACATGTTTACGGCCTCTCATTTTACTCGATGATTGGGAGCAGACTCAGCAGAGGCATTCCAAAGAAGGTTAGTTGCTCACCCTTATTTATGAAACGATTTCAAATAATTCAACAAAAAATTCATCCCCTCGTCGCCCTGCTGCAAATCACCACCTTTATATCTCAACCCACATTGCCTGTCTGTCTTCACTGTGCATTAAAATACCCATTTCTCCTCTGAACTGAGTCCACTGAGTTCACGTTGGACCAGAGGAGGTCACAGGAGGACACTTCTGCCCGGGGACACAAAGTTGCCCAGGTTATTGCATGTGTGACATTGTGCAAGCTATATTTTGACTTTAAAACAGGAAGATGGATCATGCAGCAAATACAGGCAGAGTAATCAACTGCGAACTTCACAGTTACTGACATATTTATGTCAACACTGGTTTGACAGAGTTCTCTCTACAAAATACACACATTATATATATTTGACCAGAAATACGTTTTTACAGCTACTTAAATAAATAGTCACTGTTTGCCTCTAGGATTCAGTCGTGTAAACCAAAATCAGGAAGTTTAAGATAACAACTTTTTTTTTTGTTCATTTATTTCTGTAAAAAATTAACACATTTATCTTTGACTCCTCATTTGTTAAATACTGTAAAATGGACGTCACAAGCGCCTTTATTTATGTGTGAATGTTCTGATGAGTCTGCATCAGGAAGCTTGTGAAAGATCAAACCGATATCGAGTATGTGAATGATGATGAAAATTACAGCGTCACTGAGATAAGGTGTTAGAAAATAAAAACAAAGGAAAGAATACATGCTCCAATGATAAAATGATATCTTCATTAGAGTGTGTGTTAGATCTCTTTTTGACAAATTAAAAAAAGTTGATAAATGAAACTGGCTCAGGTAAATTTTCTGTTTATCATTGGAGGAGAATCATCTACATGCACTGAAGCCCTGTGCGGCCTCGGAGCTTTCATCTCCTCCACACAACTGTTCTTTTAATGTCCACTGTAGAAAAAAAGGAGAACAAACTGACATCAGTACAACGTCTCCTCCACATCGAGAACAGGAACACACACGCAGAACCTTTCAGCCACTTGCTGCAGACTTTCAACACAATGCAAAATGTGTCCAAAAGAAAGCACGTCTGCTGATCTTATTTACGAGGGAATGAAAAAAACTCAACTAGAAGTAAACTTCACAATTTCATCAGGAACATTGCTCAAGTCGTGTTAACAGATCTGTTGCTCAAGCTATTTTGCTACAATCTCAACAGTTTTAACACTGAAAAACACATCAAGCTAATAATTCCCTAAAACAAAGCGTCATCAGGGTCAGCAAAACCCCTCTTTTAACAGGAAATCTGACTAAAAAGGCTACAATACTGGAATGGCATCCACCGTAGCCGCAGTTTTAGTTTGGTTTTCCATTTCAGGTTTCCAGCATGCGTGGTAGTTCAGTTCTCTGCTCATCCATGCGTCCACCCTGGACCCTCAGGAGCAGGGAGAAGAAGTCCTCATCGTCCATGGGACCTGGAGCTCTGCTGCGCTGGTCCTCCAGTCTGCCCTGGGCCTGTGAGTGGAAGAAAAACAGGACAGTGAAACCCTGAAATTATAGTTAAAAATAAAGTCTGCCTCGACTGGAGACTTGGGAATGTGAAAACATCTTCCATCGGTTCTGTTTGCTTACCTGGGTCGTGAGAATCATATTATACAGATCCTCTTTGGGCACAGGAACCGGAGCGGATTTTCTCACAAAAGACATTTGCTTTAAGCTGCCTCTGAAAGTCCTGGCTTTTGGTTTTGGCGGTGGCGACCTTTCGAGCTGCGCCCTCTGGTCATCAAGCCGGCGGGCTTGAGCTGTGGCCACCAGCTCAAAAAACTCCTCTTTCTGCAGTGAAGTCATGGACGAAAAGACAACTGTGGAGAAATGAGAGATAAAAGAGCTTTGGACGGTCAGACAGCAGGAGATTTTAAGTGGTCGTTGGTCCAGAAAAGACTTGGAAACGTGGTAACAGCACAAAACATTCTTGAGTCAAGTTGTAGTTTGATGTTGTTTCAGCTTGGTCAGCATGAGTCAGCTCCACCACATGGAAACAAATGCAACAGCTGTGCTGGTTTCATCAACTTACTACAAAAAAAAAAAAAGTGCTCTCACCTCTGTGGGCTGGTTTGGATGTGCTGGGCTCAGAGTGGCACCTCCGCCTCCCGATCCGGCCCTCCAGCATGAAGGAGCAGCGCTGGTCATTGAGCCGTCTCCCCTCCTGAAGGGTGCAGAGCAGCTCGTACAGTGCATCGGGGAAGTCAGGGGTTAACCGGTGAGCCTGAAAATAATGTGGGTTGGTGGCAGGAGAAGAAGAAAAAAAAAGAATGAGGGCGGGAGGAAAGGTTTCTCAGCAAGTGGCGCAGACTGTTTGTTGGCACAGCAAAAGAATTCACTTGACTCCTACGTACTCCCACATGCTCAGTAACAAAATGATACCTGCTGTTTTTCCATCACAACATCGTACATGGTGGCTGGTGGTAAAGTCAAGAGCATTACTCTTTGTGCACTGCATGAACTGCTGAGTGAGTTGCTAATAGAGGTAATCTCAGGGCACGAGTTACAATTCCAGCAGTTTACAAACCTCTTTTGGATCCTCATCTTGGCTCTGTGTCGCTTTGGGTTGTTGCTCGGGTACATTTAACCTCTTTACGTCCAGTTGAGGGTCATTTGGTTTCTTTCCATCCTCTGTGGCTCCAGGTTTCACTGATTTTTCATGAATCCTCATCACCTCATCTGTCTGCGCTTCCCTTTTCGGTCCATTATTCACGTTCTCAGTGTCTTCCTGTTTGTCCTCTTCATCCTCTCCTGTCTGGTCACCCTCTGTGTTGGTGCGTTGTTTCTCCAGGCTCTGCTCCTCCAAACACATTTGACTCACTGTGACTTCTTCATTCTTGCCCTCCCCAGTGTGCTCCTCTTCGTCTCTCAGAGCCAACTCTGCACTGGAGCGCGGTGCGATTTCAGCCAAGCCGATCATTGTGCCTTTTTCAGCGACACCCTCAATTATGTCTCCTGCTCCTGTGATGACGAGAGGACTCGGCAGCCCCTCTTCAGCCATTTGAGCTTTGATCACGGTGAAGTCTTTTAATCTCCCTGTCAAACCCTGGCCAGAAAACACACAGACACAGAGGTTGGGGTCAAAGATTTGGAGAACCTCATTGTTGATCCATCGGAGGAAAAAAGTCAACAATCACCAGATACACTCAACACAGAAGTGACTTTACAAGAAGACTGCTATAGAGCAGCTGTGCCTTTGTCTTGTGAGGAAATTCTCAAGAAACAAGTTCGGCAGGTTCCAGCATGTTGACTACATGTGTTTAAGCTGAAGATCCAACCTTAAGCAGTGTACTGCTGTTACCTGTATGTCAACACCACTGTGTGACGATATGATCGGAAACTTTTAGTCCCTCGCTGATGATATCTTTTCACTCTAAATCTTGTATTCCCAGATTCTTTTGCCCCCAAAGGTTTGTGAACCATACCGTCATTAATCTGTCATTTCTTCCTTACCTGTTTTGTTGAAAATGTTTCCGTTCAAATCATCATCTCTTGAAGTCACAACAGACGGAGCACAGCATTGTTGGCCTGAGACCTGCCAAAACCTTTAGAAGAAGAGAAAATGAAGGGTTTCACACGCCGACGTGATAAGCTCTCGCCCTGTCTGTCTGCTCTTTTCACCTTCACTCTGTCGACTCCTCTCTTCCTGTTCCTCTTACCAAAGCCCACCCCCTATTTATTTGGCCCCCTGGTAAGTCATGCTAATGTGACTTATCACCAGTAAATGCAGAGCAAATCTCCACTGTGTGTTTGAATAGTCTATGTACCGTACAAAGCAACGTTTTTAAAAAATAATCTGAGATGGAGTCAAAGCTGTCAGAGCATCTGTGAGCAGCCGCTGCTTTTACTGCTGCTCACTTGATTATGTCAGACCTGACTGCAACGTGTTGAAACAGGCGCACACACAGTTTTTCTGATGGGGTTGTGGTTTTGGCTCACATCCTGTTGACGTGCAGCTAAAAGGAGAAGTCGACTCAAACCGGTTAGAGAAGCTGCTGAAGTGAGATTATCACTTTAAACCTAAGAAATTTTGATGAAGGACTAGCTTCACTGTGAGGGCAACAGAGCACAGGATATTTTAATGTAATTTGGATGTGATTTGTTTCATAGATGGATGGATGGATGGATGGATAGATAGATAGATAGATAGATAGATAGATAGATAGATAGATAGATAGATAGATAGATAGATAGATAGATAGATGTGCCAATGGAGATACTGACAATACAAATAATTTAAGTAGAGGTGTATTGAATAAAGTATTGAAACCAGATATGAATACAGATTTAAAGATAAACAACCTATTCACACACACCACCTCACACTCTCTGATGTGTTGTTGTTGTTGTTGTGTTGTGTTCACTTCCTCCACATGCTGCAGTGTGTTCACATGACCTGTACCTGTTCCTCCCGTCCATCGCTAGGGGACTCAGCCCTGTGAGATGTCTCTCTCCGGTCGTGGTGTCCGTGTTCGTGTGTGTGTCTGTGATCACGGTCTGTGAGCAGCAGTCGTCGCCACTGTGCGTCGCTGAAGATGTTGCAGCAGCAGCAGCCTCTGACAGGCAACGGGCCCTCCAATGGCCGGGGACTCGGTTTGAGCGGCCACCCCGGGATGCACGCGCTCAACTCGGTGCACCAAGCCTCCCAGCGCCGGTCCGACGGAGGGGACGCGGGCCTCGAGGGCTCGGAGAACGGACACGAATCCCGCAGAGACATCGGCGACATTCTGCAGCAGATCATGACCATCACCGACCAAAGTTTGGACGAGGCACAAGCAAAGTGAGCGACAACTTGTTTTTGATGCGCTCGCTTTCTGTTTTTCTCCGATTTGTCGAAGGGAAAGTTTCATGAACTTCGATCCGTTGTTTGGGTTGTTTAGCCCGTAGCTAACCGTGTAGCTCACTGCAGCGAGAGGAAACTTAAGTTTTTATTTTATTTTATTGTGACCAATTCAAATGAATTATTATCCACGCGCAAACATTGTTCTTCTTCTTTTAGCAGCTTTGGTCCACAACGTAGCCATTGTTAGCCTCCTCGGCTAACTAGCTAAGGCAGCTAACAGCTAGCTGCTAGGAGGCTAATGCAAACGTTAAACAACGGGGTTATACGCCTAAACTAGTCGTTAGTTATTCCCCTAACCAATGAGAGAGTACGAGTTAACTAGCTGGTTATCGTATTCGGGCTGTTTATCAGTTTAACAGCCGCCCTCTTATCTCAAGGCTAGACGCGAAGCTAACGTGTGCTACATTAGCCACGCTAAAGGTTCTGTCACTCAAATCTGTGTTTTTTTTGTTTTGGGTCCTTTCACTGGAACCAGAGGCTCTTCACGCTTCACGTGTTTTTATTGTGTCGTTCACAGGAAACACGCACTCAACTGTCACCGCATGAAACCCGCGTTATTCAGCGTGTTGTGTGAGATCAAGGAGAAAACTGGTACGTTCGTGTTTCTGTGCACATCAATGTTGACAATGGTGGAGTCGAGCACCAGGCTGGTGCTTGTGTGTTTTGGCTTTTTGGGCTCATTACAGCTTCGTCCACACTGTGTCCCCACTGTGTCCACACTATACACTGTGTCCCCACTGTGTCCCCACTGTGTCCACACTACACACTGTGTCCCTGATGATAGACACAAGGACTTCGACTCTGTTTGACATTAACACTCGATATTGTTATTTGCAGCATCAGACACAAACTGACATCATCATCATCATCATCACACAGTTCTTATGTAAACTTCAGTTTAAAAATAGATGCTAAAGACAACAGCTGGATAAACAGACACAAGCAGGGAAACGCAGCGCATGTTACTGCTGGTCGCTTCAGCGCTTTGTGTTCATAACACAGCGCCAGAGTTGAACATATAGGGGATTACCTGCAAATGTGTATGGCAGTGACAGATGAGATGGTTGTGAGCAATGCTGCCAGGAGAAACTAGAAACTTATAAAGGATGGTGCTCTCTTTATATCTGCATCTATTTATAATTCTATTTGTAATTCATCTTTTTCAGTGTGCACCGTCAGACCTGCAACAAACACTGTGTTGCTATCTATGAAGCTCATCATCTTGTAATGGGCTCAATGTAAAATAATCTCACCCTTCACAAATCCACTCGAAGACAGATAGAGAGAAACACCTGTTTTATATTGGTGAGACGTTCTGTAAGAGAAACTGACCATCAAACATTTATTTATTGAAATCTTTACAAGAACGCCTTAAATTTAACTTGGCGAATGCTGGTAAAGACAATTTAAGTTTGTTCTTTTTTCTTGTTCTTTAATGGTATGAATTTAAAATAGATTCTAAGATGCTGTGATCACGTTCCACTTTTGCTCCAACTAAAATGCAACTCACTCGGCCCAGAAACAGGATGTTCCGACATGGAGGTTATAAATAAATATTGAGCAGAGTAACAACAAACAGAACAAAGTGTATGGGAACAATTTAGATAACAGAATAACGACCTCTCCGTTTTCAAACACAGTGCATCGTGGTTTCTGTCGGCTGACTGGGCACATTTGAAGGACAAAGGTTTTACAGAATCCAGGAGTGTCAGTGACACAAGAAAAGCGTGCTTGAATTAATCAGTTTTACAGGCTTCAATTCAAGATAATGGCGTTGAGTGTATTCAATTGTTTGAAGGAGGGAAGTGTATTGCCCGTTAAAACAGTTCCATTCATTCTGTCAGTGTTTGCCAAACACAACCAATAGACTGTGACATTTTATTGACAGGTCTGTCAATGAGGAATAACCAGGAGGAGGAGCCTCAAGATCCTCAGCTGGTGCGATTGGACAACATGTTGTTGGCGGAGGGTGTGGCGGGGCCGGAGAAGGGTGGCGGTGCCGCTGCTGCCGTGTCGGCAGCCACCAGCTCGGGAGGGATGTCACCTGACAGCACGCTCGAGCACTCCGACTACAAAAGCAAGTTGAGCCAGATTCGCAGTATCTACCACACTGAGCTGGAGAAGTATGAGCAGGTATCGTGTCGCAACAGGAGATGAGCACTGACATTGCCTGTGCACGCTTGCTTGTACTAGAGCTGCTCACCCGAAACATAATCCACTGGCATGTTAGTTCTAGAGTTCACAGCAGATAACTGTTCCTTGCCAGGGAATTCTCCTTTGTCTTTAAGTTGCTGATCAAAACACACCAGACAGGTACAAGCTTCATGTCACAAATTCCAACCTGCACTTAAGTCCTAATTGTTGCTGTTATTCAAAACACCATTCAGATATGTTATGAAATACATGTTTCCTGTTGAATTTACTGCACATTTAAAACACAGCGTAAGTTGCTTTTATGCTTATACTTGTTTATACTTGTACTAATATTATAATATTAGAAAAAAAATCTTTCAAGATGATTTAGTCCTGTGCAA